AAATCTCAAAGCACATGCTAACTCTTATTAAAACTGCCATTCAGAAGTAACAATGATCTCCTCCACTTGAATAGTTTGGCCAAAGAAAATCACATGGTCACCAATGAGTTCAGAGAGGCGATTAATTAGAATACTGTCACTTACCTAAGCTGACTTTTATGTTTTAATACACTAAATGTGTCTTCTCAAAAAATATGCAACAAGATATTATACAAATATAAACCCATATTACCTGCTAAAGCTGCCACAATATTGTGGGTTCAAGAAAAGTTAAAAAAATAGGACTTGTCATTATGTAAGTTATTTTTCCACAGGCTGTACTGTATGGGTGGTCTGAGATAAAAACCAATGATGGAGCAGATATTTTCATAGCAGCACCCAGAGCAATGTTCTTCAGAACTCAGGTTAGCACTTGTACAGTCAAAAATGTTGAGGAGTAAGACATAGTGATTTCAAGTAATGGAAAATCATAAGTGAAGAAAAAGTATAACAAATTGTAAATGACCCTAACACTCCACAGAAGGAAGTAATGTGCATTTAATAGTGGGCATGGTGGGAAGCCTGGAGTGGATAAGAAGAAATGCTCACCTTCAGGTCTGTAAAAGCATTCCCTGCTGTTCTCACCCATGGCACCTCACCTGTCACACAGCAATCAGAAGATTCCTCTTATATAGTGCAATCAGTACTGCACATCCTTGGGATTTGAAAAGAAAGAAAATAACATCCTAAATTTCCCTGACTTGCATGACAACTATCCCTTCTCTCAAAGTGTAACAAAATGCAAGTCATATCTGCATTCAATAGGGTAAAAAATTCATTGAAAGATAAGAGTACAAGAATGACATTTGGGAGAAAGAGAAAAAAGAAGGAATGTTCTTAACTGTCCAGGGTTAGCCCTTAAGTTAACACTGACAAAATAGATTGTTACCTATTAGAAAATAGGTATACCTCTGTAATTCATTGTTACCTATTGTATACCTCTGTAATTCCAGAAGTAGCTTGCAGATGTGCAGATTCTTTTTCTTAGACATTCTTACACAAATTAACATGTTTTAAACAAATATCAAATGGCATGAAAGACAATAATGGAAAATTCAAAGGGAGATCAGAGTGCAGTGTTATTAGAAGCCTAAGACAAAAACTTACGATATTCATAGGAATGTTATGTTCCAGATAACTGAAGAGCAGAGAGAAACTATACTACTGTGAGGTTATTAATCAGTGGGTAACATTGTATTCAGTTTGGACTAAAGGAGAAATTCAAATATAATAATGAGGATACTTGTTTCCAAATGTACTGAATGTTGATTGAAAACTCTTGAGAATGAAAAGCAAAATTGGTATTGAGAGATAATTATAAAACAAGAGAATCTGTGAAGGACTTTCTAAAATAAGGTGAACTAATAAAATTGCAATTAGAAAAATTTTCACAGAAGAGTAAAATTAAATATTATGATTTGGCCCTCCCTGGTGGCGCAGAGGATAAAAGCACAGCACTGACAAGCTAAAGCCACTTCCGCATGAGTTTGATTCCTGCCTGCTCAGGAGGTGACCACATGGCTTGGCAGACCTCTCCTGACTCACCCGCTGCTCCCCTCAGCAGTGTACTTCATCGATCTGCCTGTTCTGCTCCCTACTCTGTCTCTGGTGAAGCTTCTCGTTGCCTCTGAGCCTCTGACCTGTACGCCAGTTCTGTACGCACAAATAAATCCTTAAAAAAAATGTGGCGTACAGTCTTTCCCTAGTAATTAACATTAAGCATTAGCAAGTTGGATATGTGCTACATGCTTGAACTGGAATTCATTTTGTGTTATTTACTTTGTAAAGTGTGTATTCCTCTGAGAACTTTCATTTTATCTCTATTCATTGTGATAACTATAACCTTTTGAGATTTTAAAAAGTCCAGCACTTTCTCTTGTCTCTAAAAATTCATTATGTTTTTGGTATGATTGACTGAGCAGAGGAAGTTATTTAAAATGAAGTGACTTCTGTCCACACATGTGCTTTTTATTAACCTGAATTTATGGCCAGAATTGTGAACTCTCACAAAATTTGCTACTAAGAGTTGATGTGCTATTGATGATTGATAGACAAAAAGTACAGAAAGGAAAATCTACATTTTATTATAGCCTAATATTAAATTTTGTTCACCTTTTAAGATGTTAACCTCAGAGGACCTAAGAAATAAGTAACTTAGTCAGGATACCGTGTTCTTCCCAAACATGAAGATAATGACATGAAGATAATGAATTTTCCAAAGTTATTTGGGTAAAATTTAACCTAGGACATTTGGGATTTCCCAGAAAAGTCAAAATTCTTTATTTACTGTTGAAACAATGAGGAGTCAAAATCAAGTACATGGAATTTTTTACTTAAAGGAAGCCTAAGGGACAGTATTTAAGAAAAGTTTGTATGCAAGGCAAAGGCAGATATAACAATAGAATAGAAATCACTGTGTCTGATACTATGTACAAAGGATTTCAGTTTTGGGAAGAACAGATTCTCACTCAAAATGGCTTCCATTTATTAGTAAGAATAAAGTTGATTAATAATCACAAGCACTATTTAATATTATATACTCAGTCACACACCTTATCAGGACTTTCACAGACCTTTTTAAGTGACTTTTAGGAAACTTAAGTGAGTATGAAAGCTGCAGTAACATTCTCTGAATCGCATGAATAGAAAAATTCCATACTCAGAATTTCTTTCGACTCTCTTATTCCAAGACTCATCTACTTCACTATTTCATATAAGCTTCTTGCTCCTAGAGAATCTATGTAACTATTCTATTACAAAGAATTCTCATAAAGATTTATCTATAATTGATTTAAAATGCCAGTTTATAAAACTGTATATAGTTTAGGAAATAGGTTTCCACCTTCTCAGTTGTATTTTATCATCACCCCACAACTCCCACCAAAGCACTCATAGTCCTTTACCATAAAATTTTGACCTCAGTATTTCAATATATACTTGAAAGTTTATAGGGAAGACTGTCAATATGATTTTCTTTAAAAGGAGAGATAATCATTTTTGAGACTATTGAAAAAGAGCAAGCATTCCTGCTTCTTTGGCCTGTGAGAGAAACATTTTGATGAAGAGGAAGTTAGGTATGTAGAGTAACCACAACCACTTTTAGTAGGAACTGACCTCTCTCATGGAGTCCTGGAAGGGGACTAGGAATGCTATTAGCCGTCAGTTTTTTAATTGCTTTTGTTCCTAATTTTTCCTTTGCTTACAAACTTTGATATTTATACAAATGAAATATCTGCAACCAAAGACATCATGCTTCTAATGTTGTCTATTCAAAGTTAAACTCATTTTGCTTACTTTTATTTTTATTGAGATAATGTTGGTTTATAACAGGTATACATCACCACACTGCATCCACCACCAAAGTACTGAATGCCTAACACCATAGTCTGTATATGTCCTCTTTGGAGAAGTGTCTATTTAGCTCTTCTGCCCATTATTTTTGCCTATTTCTTTGATCTGGGTGTTCTCTTTTTGTTGACTTGGTGAGTCTTTGCATATCTTAGATATTAACCACTTATTGATGTGCAACAGTAGGGTGTCATTTTGCTATCATGAATAATCAAGCAATTTAAAAATGACAGCTCAAAGTAACAAAAAGTTGGTTCTTTGAAAAAAAGGGAGCAAAATAAACAAATCTCTAACTAGGTTCATTATGAAATAAAGAAGGGGGGATTTACACCAGGCAGTTCAGTTATACAGAGGACCATAAAGATTACTAAAAACACCTTTATGCCAAAAATATTGATAATGCAAAAGAAACTGAACAATTTTTAGAAGTACAGACATTACTAAGACTCAATTAAAAAGAAATAAAACCAGAACAGACCAGTTACCACACTCTTAGGTTAATTTTTGTTTTATAAAAATCTTTGCAGCAAGACAGTGAAGGCAAGGATAAACAGATGGAACTACATCATGTTCAGCAAAAGAGACAGACAGTAGAAGACAAACATCCCACTGAATGGGAAAAATTTTTCTCACAAAACTAGTGATAAAGGATTGACCACAAAAATACACAAAGAACTGATGAAACTCAACAAAAGGAAAGTAAGCAACCCCATCAAAATTTGGGCAGAAGCACTAAAAAAGACACTTCTCCAAAGAGGAAATGCAGATGGCCAACAAGCATATGAAAAAATGTTCAACATCACTTGTAATAAGGGAGATGCAAATATTAAAACCACAGTGAGCTACTACCTCACCCCAGTGAGAATGGCACATCTTCAAAGAACTAGCAACAACAAATGTTGGTGAGGATGTGGAGAAAAAGGAACTCTCCTGCACTGCTGGTGGGAATGCAAACTATGGAAAACTGTTTAGAGGTTCCTCAAACTGCTAAACATAGAGCTTCCCTACGACTCCTAGGTATCTACCCAAAAGAGACAAAAACACTGATTGAAAAAGATACCTGCACCCCTATGTTTATTGCTGCATTATTTACAATTGGAAAGACATGGAAACAACCCAAATGCCCAAAAGTGGATGGCTGGAATTTAGAAGATGTGGTACATATACACAGTGGACTATTGCAACCAAAAAAAAAAAAAATAGTGAACACATGCCTTTTGCAGCAACATGGATGGAGCTGGAAAAGATCATGCTTAGTAAAATAAGCCAGGAAGAAAAGGAAAAATACTGAATGGCTTCACTCATAGCAGGAATATAACGGACGAGGTGAGAAAATAATAACAGTAATAATAACAACAATTATATTCCAGAGACGTTTTGAGGAGGTGGAGTGGGGAATGCTATCAAAAACAGTGGGGAGAGGGAAATGCACTGGACTTTGGCGATGGCACATGAGTGATTTGGTGATGGAAAGCCACAGGGGATTACAGCTGAAATGGAAAAATGAACAAAATGAGGGAAAAATAAACTATGGAAAAGAAAGAAAAAATCCTTGCAGCAAGTTTTCCGATTAAGTCACTTACGTGGATACGTATGTTTTGTTTTGTTCCTAGAAGTGTCCGGCGGTTGTCCTCGTGTTCCCCGCAGCCTTGCTTCTCTGATCCTGTCTCCTTCATCACTGGATCGCAGGTGGGTTTTCCTAAACTTAGTAGTTAACAGTGATGTATCCTCTTATGTCTTGTTTCCTGACTGTAGCCACATCAGAGCCCAGGTATATGAATTCAGGTAAGTAGTCCTGAATGCATTAGGGGGTTCAGATTAGAAATCACCCCTTTAATTTTTCCAGTGGCTTTGTAAGCATCATAGTCTTAAATTAAATCATTTTCTGCTTAAAATATTGAGCAAGTCTTAAGATATTGTCTCCTATGCTAAAGTTTGAGTACAGTCATAACCCTTGATGCAACAGGTAGGGTTGGCTGTGCAATACTGTGGTTGCAAAGGTTATTGGAAGTTAGTTGGATGCTTTCTGGTAAATATTGTTTTCTGACATGAGAAGAAGTAACTTGGACTGGATTTCTTCTTTGCTTCCTTCTTTTCTCCTTCCCATTCATCTTTGTTCTGAGTCTTCATGCTTCATGTCATCCAGTCATGTGATAACTGGAAGGATGGGACCAAAGGCCATTTTAGGGATGGCAAAGAAGGATGGGAGTTGTCTGTTCCATAACAGATATTGCCAGGTTGCTGAATATCTAGACTGCCTATTAGATTTGAGCATTGTTAGATTTCCTGTTACAAATTGAAAATGTGATTTTTTAATCAATAAATTGAATTATCTACTGTTTACCACAGATCAAAAGTAAAGGAAACCTGAACTTCTCTAGTGGAGCATAGGTTGTGAGGGTTGGACCTACGTGATGTCGGTTTGATGAAGTGTTGGGTTCAGAGGATCGGGCCCTTGGGTCACCTCTAAAAAAAATTTCACCTGAGTTCCCCTTTCAATGACACACAGTGAGTCTCCCCATGAGGCAGAGATGTTTAGCTATATCCAAAAGTTCAGACTTATTATATTGAAAAACAAAAGGAAAAAGGAGGATATGTGCACAGAGATAAATGGGGAGAAAGACTGCCTCTGAAAAGAGATGGGTTTGTTAGACACCTGCATAGACACAGGTAAGCAATTAAAATGAGAGGCACATTTTTGAGAGAGGAAGGTTGAAGACAGATGCCTGCAAAAATTCAGGAACTCCCCTTCAGCTAGAGGGGAAAAGGAAGAGCTTAGGAAATAATTTTCCTGAGAGAAGTTAGCTTGCAACTAACAATACACTGAATGATATCAAGAATATGCACTTGTTACAAGAAGGTCGATACTATAAACAAAAAATAGTTCACCTAATGTAAGATTTTAAGTAAAAAGACTTTCATTTAGTCATCTGAAGCTCCTTACTGCTCAAACCAATACTTTGTGTATTGAAGGATAATTCTGAATACATCAATCGCACAACAACAATATTTCATTTTCTAAAAGAGGGAATAGAGGCTCTGAGAAGTTACAGTGTTGTTCATGTGAGAAGCTGCAAGTGGAAGTTGTTTCACTGAAAAATGATTAAAAATCTTAGGTATCTAATGTCTCATAACTTTTATGTAAATGAGATCCAGCTTAGCATTTAGGTAATCCTAACAAATGTTGCCACTCAACTATGTTAAATAACATTAAATTTTGCTTATTTTTAGATTCAAAAATAAATCTGATACCTTTGGGTAAAATGGGAACATTTTAAAATCTTATTTCAGAGAACAAATTCAAATCTTTCCAATGATTTCTTTTAAGGCAGCAGTATCAATAGTACCTACCAGATCTATGGAAAGTTTGAATGTACAGTATTAAATGACTGATGGAAGAAAAAAATACACACAAATGCCCCTGACTTTTGGTTGTTTTAATAAAGCTTCTATCTTGCAAGTTCTAATTTTACTGTTTCATTTTGGGACTTCAAAAGATGGTTGTTTACATACCTTCTGCCTAAACAAAACATTACCCATGAACTGTAACTCTCCTGGAAGGCAAACAAGCACATGTATTGCTATATCATCCCTGTTGCCCAAATTACAAACTTAAGGACCCTTAAGAGCATCTGATTGTCTTCAGTACAATGTGGCGTGACAGTGCCACACACATTAGCACTAATGAGCGCAGTGCAGATAACTCTTCACTTCAGCCAAATATTTGGAGTTCTTTTCTGGGAAATGACTTTGTGACAAACCAGACATTCTGCAAGTGATACCATAGGTAACTGTAGGTCTTCTTGAAACCCCCAGGCTCAAGGACTTCTCTGAAGAATTCTACTAAAATTTAAAATAATGTGCTAGTTAGAGTTTTTCTATGCCTTCAAAACTGCTTGTTCTGGGAGCAAGAAGGGAACAGCTAAGTACCTCTTCTGTCTGATTTAAGTTATGCTAAACAGTGTTGGAAATTAAGTAGACTGTTTGAAATCAAAAGTTATGTGGCAGACTAAGGGGTGTTTTTAAAGGAGTTAAAGGAGTTTTAAAGGGGTTGGAGTTCAAATAACTTCCATCTGCTATTTGACGAGTTGATGGAAATCCTCATCTTAAGGGAGAGCCATTTCATAAACTTGTCTTTATTTGCAGTGGAAAAAGGCTAAATTCCCTGGCATGACAGATAAAAAGGAAACTTTTAAGCATAATCTCTTCAATCTGTGGGGATTATTTTCAAGCATCTGCTGAGTTTGTGTTTGTGTTCAGCTTGATGTCTGATATGTCACATTATCTAAAATCTTCACATTAGACTCTTACTCTGGATATAGATACAAAACAGGTTTGAAAATTTCATTTTACCCACTGTGACGCAGTAAAACAAGACTTTCATTTACCAGGAAACAGGACAGCATTTCCTACATCATGTAGATGGTCATGGAAGAGCTCCCAAGGGAGAAGAATTTGCCTGCTGATGGGTAGGAACATGAACTTTTTGAAATGAAATGGTACTAAGGTTTATGATAAGAATACACCAAAATCTCTTAAATAGTATAAACTCCCATAGATACTATGATATAGGATTGACATAGCTATTGATAAAGTAGGTCATTGCTAGAATTCAACAGCATATATAAAATTCAACAGTTTATATGAAAATGTATATGATAACAATGCAATTTCAAGTCAGTGGAGAAAAAATTTTCATTTTTCACTAACAAATTATAGTGATGTAGGGATCAGGCTACTCCCTACTTTACACTTTAGACAAAATAAATATCTAACATACCAATATTTAAACATATAACATGGATGAAATCATCTAATTACTAGAAGATTCTTTGGATTAATTTTAAAAAATAGCTTTGTAGGGATAGAATTTTCTAAAGTTTATATGAAATCATAATACATCCTAGTGAGAAATAATTAAAATTTGATCTAAAAAATATTAAAGCTATACCTCTCCAAATAAAACTCTCCCCAAATTAAAAAATATCCAAGTATCAAAGAAATGTATTTATAACACCTATATAAGAAGAGTTTTCTATGATGTTAACTTTCATGAACCAACAGAAATTCCCACAAGCCAATAGATGAGTGACACACAGTTTCACAAATGATTGTTAAGATTTGAAAGTTGGCAACTATCAATTATAATTATGAATTAAAGAAGCAACATTTTATTATTTTAATCTATAAATAGGAAATAGTGAAGATGTAAAGCAATAACAGTCCCCATAGACTCTTTTGGGGGCAAGTAATCTGTTATAACGCATTTTAAAGTCAATATGCTTATCAGCAGGAATGATCTCATTTCCAGGTCCATGTTAAATATAAAGATACATTCCTACCAGAATGTTTATTGCTGCTTTCTTTAGTCCTTGTAAAAAATTCTAAAAGTATAAATATTCTAAAAGGATAGTCAGCAATATTAAATGAAAGCATAGGGACTACAGTTAATAACACTGTATTGCACACTGTAAAGCCACTAAGAAAGTGTGTCTGAGATATCTACGCTCCACACACACACACAGTAACTACGTAAGGTGATAAGTTATGGTCCATAGCTATTAATAGAAAACTATATAACTTAAATTTACACAAAGTTATGTGCCCATTCTTTCTCAATAAAGCTAGAAAAAATGTTGTTTAGAACAGTGAAATTTAAGGAAAAACTCAATATTCAGTAAAAATAAAATAAAAAGAGCAGTGTGCACTGAGATCAATGAGATGTAGAAGCAATATACACATCGAAGGGTGGAGTATTTAGTATGAGACCCTTCGTATAAGCTAATGCAGGACCGTATATACACTTTTGATGTGTTTAGAATATGTTTCAAGAAAAATCACAACAAACTCTGGTTAACATGGGATAGAGAAATGGGTTAGGTGGAGTGTTTCTTTGAAACTTGATTTTTGTATTTAAAACAAATATTACTTACATAACTAAATTAATAAAAATATTTCCTTAAAAATAGAGGGCTTGTTAAGTTGGAGAATTATTTTTTGGAAAGCATTATTATCTTTGACTCTGCTGGCCAGATAGGGTAACATTAAATAAAATTATATAGGTTCTTCATATTGCTTCATTTGAAATTGTCAGCTAAAATTTTCAAAAGGTACTAGATGGATGTTATTAAGACACCATACAAATTAAACTTTGTTTATTAAAACCTGCAAGAGCTTTAGTTAATTCAGTTTCTAGATAATGGTGATTTTTATCATTTTCTATTTTTTAGTCACATTAGAATTATCACTTCTAACCACACCACTGTCCACTGGGAAGGTTATCATACCCACATATCATGTCTTTACACTGATTACCAAAAGCAATAGATAATTTCAATACAAGTCCTGTTAAAATGCAAACAAAATTCTTCAAAGAAATAGAACAAAAAAATTTACAATTTATATGGAACCATAGTGGTCCTTGAATAGCTAAAGAAATCCCAAGAAATAAGGAGAAAAAGGGAAGCACCATGTTACCGGACTTTATAATATAAAGCAACAGAAATTAAAACAATGTTTATTGGCATAAAAGCAGACATAGATCAATGCAAAAGAATCAAACATCCAGATATAAACCAGGTTCCATGTCAGTAACTAATTCATGATAAAGGACCCACACATGGGAAGTAAATAAAGGACATGGGAAGTCAAGTTTAACAAATAGTGCTGGGAAAACTAGACAGCCATGT